TTTTTTTTTTTTTTTTAGTAGAGACAGGCTCTTGCTCTTGCTCAGCTGGTCTCAAACTCATGAGCTCAAGTGATCCTCGGCCTCCCAGAGTGAGGCTGGCCTTGTGAATGGGGGTCCGGACCCTGCCGTCTGTGCCTTAAGAGCCGCTCTGCTCCTCCTGCTTGTCAGCCTTCCCTTTTCTCCTCAGCTCCCAAGGCTCGTGACCGGCGCCCAGAAACCAGCTTCACGAGTTCTTTCCACATGTAGTGAGTTGGCATTGCTTCTGTGTGGGGTCAGGAGTAGGGTCATTCCATTGCCCCAGCTCCCTCTGTCTTCCTAGGGCCCCTGGACTTTCTCCCATGGTCACCTGCCTTTGCAGGCCTTGTTCTCTCCCTTCTCTGCCATCCAGGATGGTGGCCCTGTGGGTTCAGGGTCTTATTTGGGAGCCTGGTCACCTGGTGATTTTTTTTTTGAAGTTTTGCAGAAAAAAGAAGAGAGCTGAGGCAAGTGAATCTCGAGTTGGAGATGACCAGTAGAGGACTCTGGCCCACCTCTCTTTAGAAACCTTCCCTCTGGGAGCTTAGGGAGTACTGTTCAAGCACTTTGATGGTTGTGAAACGGGCTGTTTCTTCCAGTTTTACAGGAACCCATTCATCACGAGAGGTGAATTTCCCTCCCAGGTTCTTTGCTGAGAACCCAACCCAGGGGCCAGACTCCCTGCAGAGGCCTCTGTGTTAGCCCATCTCTCCTCCTGGTCTGCGGTGGAAAAGCTCCCTGTCCTTGGCTTTTGTTACCCTGCTGGGATCTGGAGGGCTCCCTGCCTCTGCTCCCACCGTGTGCATCTGGTCCCCCTGCAGGGATCTGGAGGGTTCCTTGCCTCTGCTCCCACTGTGTGCATCTGGTCCCCTTGCTAGGATCTGGAGGGCTCCCTGCCTCTGCTCCCACTGTGTGTATCTGGTCCCCCTGCAGGGATCTGGAGGGCTCCCTGCCTCTGCTCCCACCGTGTGCATCTTTTCTGTTCCAGGTTCGTGTCCTGGATCACAGTGCCCTGGGTTTGCTTGCGTATAGTCTACAGAGGTTTATTAAGACACAGCAGTAGCCCTGGCTTGACTGAGAAGTAACCAAATTGCTCTCCTGCTGTGAGCCATGGCCTTCTGAACAAATCTGTCAGAAAGAAGCCTCCATGGGCTGCTTTTTGGTTTTTCTCAGAGACTGGCTAGTTCTAGAACTATCGGAGAGAGGGGTTCTGAGGACACTGAGCCTTCTTACAACCTGTGGACTTCACGCCACCCCAGTCTGGCCGCCCTACACTCCAGGGCTGGGCCACAGTTAGAACTGGACTGGAGGCTTTGATGCTCTGTCCTCGACAGAAACGGCGCTTGGTCAGCCTGGCCTGGGGTGTCCATGTGGCAGACAGTGGGCAGGGGCTTAGCAGTCTGAACTGGTTCTGCCTAGTGCCTCTCCTGGCAGGGTCAGCCGCCAGCTACCCGACTCATCCTCTAACAATTTTCTGCAGGTGCTACCTAAATCTCACCCCCTTATATTTGACAAGAATCCTCATGGAAGGGAGGGAGGGAGGGGGCATCGGGCTTAAAGAGCTTTGCACAACAACTTGTTTCTCAAGACTTTCGTGCACTTGATTGCCTGTGTTTGCTTAAAGCCCTGAGCGGCTGCTGCTGCTCCTTGTGTAAATATCTCCCGAGCAGTCCCCTCCTGCTCCCCGTGTCCAGGCCCAGAGTCACCACTCTTCTTCATTTGCTTCTTTGAATACGGCGCCCACAGGCTCCAGGCTGAGGGACCGGGTCCTTCCTCCCACCCCGTTGTTCTCCCTTACACTTCTCAGGAGGAGAGTTGGTTTGCAGGATTCTCTGCCTGTGAGTGCTCCTTAGATGACCTCACCTCTTCTCCAGTCTAACCTGCTGACTCCTCCCTCACCTCTTCCTCTTAATGCACCTTTTGTAATCATCATTGTGGTCCTGCCATATTTCCAAAGAGGACACAGATTAGTTTTGTTCACCCATTAAAGCATAAATTCCTGCAGGCTGTTTTTCAATTTATATGTTCCAAGTTCCTTATTCTGTGCTGAGACAGGCAGCGAGAGGATCTGGCTTCTCCCGTCTCCTTCTGCTGACACCTTCCTCGAGAGGTTTTGCACTCCCAGCTGTACAGTGAGCACAGCTCACTGTTGTGAAGCT